GAGCGGCTTACAAACTCCTTTCCCTTCCCCTCCCCACAACAGACACCCTGTGAGCAATGTTCCCTCTAAACTGTGGAGACTTTTGAGCAAAAATTCTACTTGGTGAGCAACTGGCATTAAAGTTGTGAGTGAGCAATTTGGCTACTGCATAAATTAGTTTGCTCCGGAGCCATCCTTCCTGAGCGAAGACAAGAATGTTTGAGCCGGAGGCAAGAACACTGTGAGCTAGCTCACACTAACTCAGCTTACAGGGAACACTGCTAATCACTACAGGACACTAGAGACTGGATTTATACCCCACCCTTCACTACCCAAAGGTGTCTCAGAGCGGCTTACAAACTCCTTTCCCTTCCCCTCCCCACAACAGACACCTTGTGAGGTAGGTGGGGCTGAGAGAGCTCTGACAGAAACTGCTCTTTTCCAAAAACAGCTGTGCCAGAGTTATGGCTTGCCCAAGGTCATCCAGCCAGGTGCAAGTGGAGAAGTGGGACCCGGTTCTCCCAGATTAGAGTTCGTGCACTTAACCACTACACCAAAGAGGATGAGATGGGGAGGCAGAAAAAGAAAGTGACCGGCATAGAGGAGGGAGAGGAAGCAAAGGTGGGAGGAATGGGATAGCCACTCCCGCAAGTCTCTTGCGGGTCGCCACTTGTTTTAATATAATCAGATCCTCGTGCAGCATTTATGCATTATTTTTTGATTGATCCTAGAATCTGTATGAAGATTTGTACTTGTATAGGCAAGGATGCCCCAAGGTGGAGGTGCGTGTGGTGCAGTGGGCAATCGCTACTAACTCCGCCCATCGTGGGTCACCATTTTTCATCTGGATCTGGTTTATTTAAAAAAGGAAATCCTGAAGTCTGCCCATGTAAGTTGTGACTCGACAGGGAGTCCTGTGTTTGCTCTTGAATGGCGTTGAGAGACCAGAACCCCACCCCACCCATACACAAAAAGAAATGAAACCTCTCCACCAAACTCCTGCAGTGTCTCACCTTTGCAGTGGGCATATGGCATAGTAATAACATACTCCTCTCCGCTGCTTAGAAACGTAAGCTTAGCTTGCCCATCCAATAGCGCTGAAAGTGAATTACCTGCAAAGATACAGAAGTGCCAGTGAATGTTTATGGCATGCTCTTAAATATATACTAGACCTCACAGACATGCTCCTGGCTAAAGGAAGAGCCTCTAGAACCCAGGACTGTCTGTCAATCATGCAAACGGGGAGGGGAAATGCTGTTCTTGAAAACCTTATCTACACAACAACAAGCAACTTATTCTGTCTCTGCTGCACGCAAATGCTATATGGCTGAGAAGCCCCTCACAATCAGCAACAAGATGCACGTTCAGCCTCTGTGTCTGCAGAGAAGATGGAACTTTGATGCAGGAGAAAGACAAAAAAAGATTTCCTCAAGCTGAGATGGCTTATTTGCAACTGCAGACCACCTACAAAAAACATGGCCCATAGATTCGAAGTAGTTTTTGCCCATGGAATGACCTCTAGGGAATGTCTGGGTTCCCCCCCCCCTGCAAGGAGGGGTACTTGATTGATTCAGCCACAGTTTAGACTGAGCACAAAACAAGAGGGATCACAGGAATCCAACAGGAAAATCACACAAGCAACCCTGTGGTATGAACACTATTAAGAAGATTTATATAACGTTTTAGTAAAGGTAAAGGTTCCCTTGCTCGAAAGCCAGTCGAGTCCGACTCTAGGGTTGCGGTGCTCATCTCCGTTTCAAAGCCGAAGAGCCAGCGCTGTCCGAAGACGTTTCCGTGGTCATGTGGCCGGCATGACTAAACACCAAGGTGCACGGAACGCTGTTACCTTCCCACCGAAGTGGTCCCTATTGATCTACTTGCAATTTCTTGCTTTCGAACTGCTACGTTGGCAGGAGCTGGAACTAGAGATGGGAGCTCACTCCATCATGCGGCACACTCGGG